ATATAAAGTTGAAGGAAATTGAATAGTCCAGAAAACTCTTATAGGACAGAACATGTGGAGGGCAGGGTGCTGTATTAAAGCAGAAGATATCTGTCTTTCTTATGTTTTGATTCAAATGTACTATAACTGGCGTAGTAGCTCCCTAAGAAATTTAAAAAAAAAACAACAAAACAAACAAACAAAAAAAACTTTGGAGTCTGTAACAGACTGAAGAGAAGATAGTTCCATGGGGCTAATTGCTTTTCTCAGATCTGAGCTCCTGTTCATCTTTTAAAAGAACATCAGCCTTTGGAGAATATTTTTGGTGGATAAATGAGTCTTTCAATCAGGTTACCATGGAAACTGCTGGAGGTTAGCTTCCAAATTTGTGTGTGGCAGAGGGAGAGGAGACTGATTCCCATAACTGATTATGGTGATGTGTTGGGGGGTTCCCATGACCCATGACCACTCTCAGATGACAGTTGGATTTTATCCATAAACCTGAATCTGGCTTCCTAAAATTTTTTAGACTGGAGGATTAAGGCATGAGGGAATGCTGCCATCATCATCACTGGCCCCAAAACTTGTTGCTAATTTTAGTGCTTGGCTAATCGGGGAGAATTGTCCCAGGGACAAGAAAGCCACCTTTCTATCTGTCACTTGTTATCTCTCTCCATCATTTGCCTTAAAATACAGTTATTTGAAAGCTGTGCAGAATGGCAGTATAATTTTTTATATTGAAAAATCCTATTGATTCAGAGCACCATAAAAACTCATATGATTTCAGTATAGCTTTAAAATATTTTTATTTATACCAGGCCCTAAATAAGTCGTAAACACTGTCATTGAGCAATTAAAAGCCTAATATCACTACAGAGTATTCCCTTGATCTTGTCTAGATATTAGCTTTTAAGTGCTATTCAGCAGTAAGACAGTATGAAACAAAAATTTTAAATAATATTTCATAAAAACTTCAACAAGTGAGCTTAATTGTAGTAACCGCATTGAAGGGAGTGAGGAAGAACTAACCTAAGTAACTGGAACGCAGACTCTTGCCCGAACACTCTTAGGCTGAGGGCAAAAAGAACTGTACGAAATGCTGTAATTTGATTTGTTCTTGTGTTTCTCACAGGGGTATGGGTTTGCAATTCTGAAAGTACTTTATACACATAGCAGAATTAAACAAACAAGTAACTATATCATAGATAACAAGAGCAAAACATCTCCTTGTTCGAGAATGAAGTTATAAATGAGGAGAGATTAAAATGTACCATATGGTGTTGATCTGGAATCTGAGATGTGAGTGTAAAATCATGGTTTTTAATATGTGTGCAGACAGAGAAATATAGATGTGTGGGTTAGTGCACATACATATATTTCCTCACTTTGTCTGACTTGGGGAACTAGAAGCCATGGAACCCGGGAAGCAAGGAGCACATCTAGCATTAGATCTTGCCTTCTAAACACCATTATCTCATAAAAGGAAGCAGGACTCCTTGGAATAGTAATTAATTACAGGGCTGGGGCAGAGGAAATACAAAGTGAGCCCAGAGCAACTTGTAAGCCGAAAAATAAGGCAGTGTACTCAAAAGGATAGGGCTTGTCCAAAGAACACAGGAGCCAACCTGAATGGACAAAGCTGGAACAATTTTAGCAACAAAATAAATAACAATAGCATTGTATTTTAACTTATAGAATTAAATAAATATCCGCGAGTCCATATTGATATAAATAAATAAATTAAACAAATGGGGAAAAAGGGATAGCACTTTCTTACAAAAGAATTATAGTTCATGAACACAGAAGAAGAGAGGGAAAAAAGAAATTCATCATTAAGCAAATACCACAGTAATAATTATGATAAGTAAGATCCACCGATAGATGCAAATATTTGTGGGAAAAATCTGAGAAGCAGGATATATTCCCATGGTCTCAAAGTATCTTTCTCAACATAATTATTCATTATAAAGGCTTATAAAGGGAAAGATAATTTCATAGTGGAGGAACCTTGCAGGTATGACCTTAACCAGGTGGTCAAGATTAACATCACCAGTGATAAGATATGAACATCATGAACTTCTTGATATTACGCACTGAGAAGGATACAATAGCATTTCAGTGTTCTGAGAAGCAAGGAAAGACTGAGGAACATTAGATTGGAGGAGATTAATAAGAAGTGATAACTAATTACAATACAAGGAACTGGATAGAGTCTTAGAGGAGAAAAAAGACATTGGAAAAACTGGAGAAATTAGAATAATTTCTGCAGTTCAACATTAGGAGAAGTTGAGTGAGGAGTATATGCAGAAATTAGTTTAAAATAAAAAAAATATAGACAAAATGAACTAAAGCACATAAGGTACACCAAAATAAGTAATCCAATAAAGTAAACTATTCTTTGCTTTTTCCTATTGCAATTTCCACAGCGGAGCGACTTTCAAGCAGTTGGCTGGATGTTCGTCACATTGAAAAATATGTAGACCAAGGTAAAAGCGGAACAAGAGAATTACTTTGGTCCTGGGCGCAGAAAAACAAGACCGTCGGTGACCTTTTACAGATTCTCCAGGAGATGGGGCATCATCGAGCTATCCATTTAATTGCAAACCATGGTAAACACTGATTTTTATTAAACTCTTCGTATCATAAACATAATCAGAATCACAGTGTGAGTAAAATATAGATAATGCTACAATTTGTTTTATAATATGATTAGAAGTTAAAAAATATTATTGGATTCGCTCCCTCTATTTTAGTGCAAATGATACCTCCAGAATAGCCCTGGAATTTCTTTTAGCTATACTGCTCTTTTTACACCATGGTCTCTAGCTCAGCCTTTCCTGTTTACTTTCCATCCCACGGTGCCCTAATTTTTCCCTCTGACATCCTCTGTGGCATGCCTTATATTTAGAGTAACCTGATTAGTAAAGCTCATGAAGTTATCTTCATTTAATTGTTGTCAATAAAATAATCTCCTGATGTCAGCTATTCTGGTTATTCCACTTTAGATTTATTCACTTCAATAAGAATGATCTCAAGTGGTTTTGAGTCTTATGGTAAAGACTCAAAGCTCTTCGGCTGGAAACTCTTTTGAATCAGTACCCTTATTCTTTGACTTTCTCATTCACATGTATTTTTAGTTCTGTATATTAGACACATGCTCTTTGATAATATACTGAGTGCACTTGGGCTTCTCCCTTATGATCCAAAGAAGCTTTGCACATACAAAGAAGAAATCCTGAGAGATTTGTACCAGAAAACTGTAGCTTCAGATTGTTGATTTTCTATGGTAATGGAATATTACACAGTTCCCAACAGGCTTGTGCTATGATATTATCTGTATGATTTGGCTCATCCCTTTTGTCTTTTGCACACTATTTCTTCACTTAGTTTCATATAGCAGAATGCTTCATTGTGAAGCTAACTAATCAAGTAAAATGCGGTGAGGTTCCTGGGAACTGAAAATTCAATACCTTTTCATTATCTGAGCTTTTTCCAGACGTTGACATCACCCACACAACTTACTGTTCACAATATAAACTTATACCATTTTGATAGAGCACATGGATATGTTTTATACTTCAGTGTTCTGGAATAGATTTCTTGGTATCTTTCACTCTCTGTTATTTATTTATGCAGCAGAGAATGATGTGGACTGTGAGTATACAAAAATTTCACATTTTTGATTGCCCCCTAGTCTGTTGCACATGTAAAATTGATTTTGTTTTTTAAAATGAGAGATTAGTTGATCGATGGAAAGACAATTATTTACTATCCTAGTACCAGGAGACAGGTAAATCTGAGATGAACTGGAGGATGGTGCCTGGCTGAGTCCTTTGCCGAGGAAAATAGTATTATTTAATTATAATATATTGAGTGAATGCTTTGAATTATCTTAAAAACGTTAATTGTATAGCTGGTTAAAAGCAGCAATGTAATGATTCATTGGAAACACTAAGTGAAG